GCCTAGAGCCCGTGCTCGGCAATGAGAAGCCACCGCAACGAGAAGCCCGCGCACCGCAACGAAAAGTAGCCCCCGCTCACTGCAACTAGAGAAAGCCCGCATGCAGCAACGAAGACCCAACACAGCCAAAAATAAATGAATAAATAAATTAATTAAAAAAAAAAGAAACAGGTGAGAACACAGTCAACTGAGGCCCAAGTCACAGGGGCAGAAAAGAGGCTACTGGATTTGGCCAGGGTGAGGGAGGGGCCACGGGCCAGATGCTGCCCTCCTTCCCCCTCTCAGCCCAGCTCACTCACAGCTGGGAGTCCTCCAGCGTGTTCTGTCCATATCCCAGTCTGACCAACTCCCCGGTCCCCCTGCCTGCTGACCTCAAGATCAAACTCCAGCTGGATCAAACCCACACCCACCTTTCTAGGGCCCATGGAGGTGCCTAGACAGTTGCCGAGATGCCAAGTGGTTGTGGGAAACAGAAAATCCGACCAGTTGCCCCACAAGGGCTGTTCCTTTTCCTCCTCCCTTTACCCCGCCCTGGACACTTTCACCTTCTTGCTCCACTAATGAGCGCTATGTGACCCTTTAATGAGCACCCGCGATTAGACCCCATCTTGGTGCCCGGTTAACCCACCCTAATGGCCTCATTAAGGTCCCTGCATCAATAACCGGCACTTGACATGGGCAAAGGACAGGCAGAGATAATCCAAGGGGCTTAACCCCAGTGAGTCAGAGCCATAGGTTCCAATTAATAATATTATCGTTAAGTGACATTTATGGAGCATGTAGCCTGCTCGCCCTCGCTAAGTGTTTTTTGTGCAATACTTTACCTAAACCTCCAGCTGGCAGGGGCAATGGTCAGGGGTATGGACCCGGAGTCACACCTGTGTTTACGAGATAACTTACTTCCCCTATCCTGGCTCAGTTCCCTCGTTGGTAAGACAGGGTCAATAATATACCTATCTCACAAGTTGTCACCAGATTCCAGTAAGTCAATCCAGGTACAACATTTAAAGCAGTGCTTGCCATGCAGTAAAGGCTAATATACTTACATGATAAGTTAAATAAAAATTAAATCAACAACAGCTTCCTAGGGCAGAAAAAAGTGCAACAAGAAGGAGAAG